AACACCAACTTCAGATGTGCTTCCAGTCCACGTGGTCGGATGTTATGTTCTGAAGTACGGTTCCGTTTCGAGGGCGGTCTCAGTGAATCTATAACAGAGATTAGGAGAGATTACAGTCGCGTGAGAGAGTTACTATCCTCACTCCTCGCGCGCAGCTCGCTCAATCAGAGAGATGTGTTACTGCGTTTGACCGGAGGATCCCGGTGCACACTGTAATGTACATCGCTATATATAATATGTAATTTCTAACATATAATTTTGCTAAAATATATGTCGATTGCCAGTTCGAAGCAGGTCGGTGTGAAAACGACATTGCAATGCACGTCCATGAAGTAGTCTTTTGTAATATTCCATTGAAAGCATTCAGTACCTCTGACCTTTTCACTTTTCCCCAAAAATGACGCATTAGCTTCTTCGACGTAGTTGGCGCCGAAGAGACGCCGGGATCAATTTACAACTCTTCTGCGTCATTGTCACGAGTTTCTATGGAATATCGGGTTACTTGGAATTTCACTGTAGACATTTGATACTTATGCGCACTTTCTATTTCCTGGATGGTGCAATGATCAGCAAGACGCATGTCTGGTAATACTGGCGAGTTATTGTACTGGATAGATTTTACTGGATCCATCGCGTTGTCTTGGGTTCCTCAATACCCTGACTCGATAGCTAGTACAGGATACTGAAATATTGCAATGGGTTCATTCTATAAGTGGACTTCAGACAATTTAGAAATTTTATAGGGAAGAAAATTCAATGAGCATCCAAATTAAAGTTGTAGACGCTTCTTAATGTATTTCACGCTCAAAAAGTTGCAATAAGAAGAAAACACAAATAATATTCAACATGTAACTACTTGTTAGTAGTTTCAAGTTTATAAACATAATGAATATATAATAAATAATTTATTAATTTTGAAATATAATTCAGATTGAACAAAAATGGGATAAAGACTTAAAAAATGAATTTTAGACCTCTACTTAAAGGGCGATTGAAGATACTGTTGGCTAGTTTTGTACATCTTTAGCTTTACTAACTGCATACTCGTTTCTGAGGGATGTTATCGGAGTCTAGAGGAGGATTTTATTTATTTTTCTGGAGGGTTAAAGAGAGTATTTTCGAGGTCTTCTGCTAGAGGATAGAAACTGGTACGTTTATGTGAGTGCTTTACTTCTCTTTTCCAGCGCAATTCACGTTGACAAGAGTGTCAAACCACTGGAAGAGACATGTGAGCAATGTAATCAGCTCAAAAATTAAATTCAACGAATGATGCAGTAAAAGATGTGTGTGTTTCCTTTCATTGAAGGTTTTTGCCTCCGGTTAAGGCAACATAGTCGTTCCTACTAAACGTTTGAGCTCTAGTCTTTACTAATTAATGTTATTTTGATATTTTGTAGGGACATTATTTTCGACACCTTCTGTAAGTTTTGAGAATAAATGTAGGTGCGTTTCTTTTCGTGGTTGGTTTTTATTTTTCAGTGAATTTGATTGGGATAAGAGATCAGTCAAGGAGATGTGTAACTGTGACAGCTATTGCATATAACATATCATAGAAACGAAGGGAAAATGCCAAAATGCATGTCCATAACATAAGAATGTTTTACTAACCTCTCTAGATGGCTGCACTAGACATAACAAGGTGGAGGAAAATTTTATGCATATTTTTTTCACGTTGATCGTTAATATATATTGTGAAGAAAAGGGTGTCAAGAAAAAGTATTAGGGGTGCAGACAAACAAAATTTTCCACGTACACCTGAGCAGGATAGGTTAACTGGGAGTGAATTGTTCTGTTTTATCACACACACACACACACACACATGTATATATATATATATATATATATATATATATATATATATATATATATACACATGATATTGCTTACTGGTAAACGGAGTCTATGGGTACAGTTATTGTTAATAACAAGTCAGTGGATAGTAAATAGTAGTTATGTATAATGCGCACGTTAGATTATCTTACTTCGGAAAGCATCATAGGCTCTTATTCTCAAACACGTAAATACTTTCATTTTGTGTTTCGAGTTGGCAAGAATATTCTCGACCTCTTCTGAGTGTTTGTGTGGTTAACAATATTTGAAACGTGTCTTAGCAGATTCTATTTTCCAATGATATGACTTGAACAATGGTTTCATCACTCACAACAAAAGTGAAGGGCTGACGATTAAAAGTATATTAATAGACGATAAATAGTAAAACGAAGTGAAAATGAATTTGAATTAAGTCTGTTGCATCGTTCCTTTTCGATCAATGACCCTTATCTCGATCGTATTTTTTTCCAGCTTTTTTTTTGTGATCCGTTCCGAAATTGCTGAGTTTGTCCCTTGTTTTGCTTCTGTTTGTAAATATTGATTTCACTATCTGTACACGGTTTGTAAAGCTCAGGGGGGTACACAGTTATTCAAATAATCTTTTCTCATATTTTTGCGGGAGTATGTCTATTCCTAAAGAACACGATATCAACCAAAATATGTAAGTGATTTGCCTTTGCGAACAGCTGTCATTACACAAGATCAATTATTTTCTTGTTAATGCTTGCTAGAAACACTCGTTTCTACGTGTACTCATATTCCGACCTAATACGGCAGGGATCACAGACCTCAAGCCGTGCAGAGTTTGCACTTCACCGCAAAGTATTTCACACACAGAGGTTAGTTAATTTCAACGTTAAATAAATAAAAAGATGAAAATATGGTATGGAATCTTAAAGACATTAGTGACAAAAGCGCCAATTAATCACTCAAACCGCTATCATCTACAATACTTCTATGTACTCCTAAGAAACATAATAAATGTTCTCTTCTGAAACAAAATTTGAAAACATACTTTTTGGGTTCCGTTGAATCAAAGATTCTCTGACCCTCTAAATGGAATCATAAAAAATCTAGATTGAAACCCATGGAAATACACATTTTTGAAGGTCTCATCAAGAGGAGAATTTTATCGACATCCGTGATTGTGCGGGTGAAAATGGGTGCGTTTCTTTGCGTGGTCTGCTTCTATTTCCAGTGCATTCGACTTGGACAATAGACGCTGACCACTCAGAGAGACGTGCACGTCCGACAACCTATGCATTTAAAAGGTGATGTGACGAAAACGAAGAGATTCGATGAGGCGACAGCAGAAGAAAAAAGTAAGGGTGTGAAATGTTCACCAAGACTATATGAGGAAGTGCTACGAAAACCAGAAGAAAGCTGCTCAGATCACCCAAGGTGGAGAGAAATATATTCTAATTACTCTCTGACAATGAAAAATTATATTTGAAGATCGAATATTTCCTGTCATGTATGAGTATCATCGATCTTTTGCTAAAGTCATGGATGAATATATGTTGTAATAAGTTTTGGGCAATATACAATTTTATTAAGGATTTTTGTGGAAACAAGGATGGACATTCACAACAAAGATCTCGGACCGAAGGATCGTGGGTTCGAGTTCCACCTCGGGCATGGTTGTATTGTGTTCGTCCTTTCACTCCCCTATCATCATCATCATCATCATCATCATATCGTGTCATCCTCATAGTTACCATACCGTTACAATAGTGGTCGCTAATGACCTAGTAGTTGATGCGACCTCAAATAACAAAAAAACGGATGGACGTTGGTGGGTTCCTTTGCGTTTTTATTTATTTTTTCAGTTTTGACATGGACAATTGCCCCAGGCCGCTCGAAGAGATGCTCGGGACTAATAATAACTGTATTTAGCAAACGGACAATAGAAAGTGTAGAAGGTGCAATAGAACTATTTGCTTTCCAGGAGGCTGTCCTCCTTCTACGTACGACTCCATTGCCCATTTCCCTTAAACCCTTAAATCTTAAAGAAGCTCATTCATGTTGTAGCGATTATTGTTGCCTTCAGAGAGTCTGTGATGACTGAATACGGCGCGTTCCTTTGAGTGGCCTATTTCTACTTTCCGGTGCATGTGACGTGGGCTGTAGACATAGACCACTATAAGAGATGTGCAAATCATGGAAGAATTGGACTTAAAACACAGTCAATAGTAAAATAAAATATATGAAAAACTATCGATATTCTTTGCGTCTTCTTAGATCGAAGATTCTCTCCCTGTTTATGGCATCAACAATCACTATTGTGGACACGTATAAATCTTTCCTTTTTATTTTGTGGAGTGTATGGTATTGTTCAAGACTTCTGAGGGTTAGTGCCGAACATTTGTGCTTTTATTTCCATGGTTTGTTTTTATTATTCCGTGCATTTGACATGAAAAAAAAAGAAACAGACCACGGAAATGTTTGTTTGTCAATCATTGAATTTAATAAAGATCATAGAGCTCAATAGTAAATCGAGGGAAAAAGTAATATACAAAAAGGAGAAAATGATAGATATTAGGAGAGACACAATTTCTTTCTAAATGACTGAGAGATTGTTTGCGAGCACGTCATCAGCTAGAGTAATTAGTTCCTTAAGTGTAGTAAACTTTTTATTCCGTTTGGCGGTGGGGTTCTTCCCTCGCTGTATGGTGAAATCCGTCACTGACCTACATGTTGGCTTGCGTGGCATTTCTCTCCCCACGTATCTCTCACCCAGCGGGGCACCGCCACATTCGGAGGAATCTCTATGCTGTGGACTGGTCTCCCGACACTTGGGATAGAGTAGTACATCTATGTGTGGGTGTAAGGGAAAATGGGAGGGCAAGGAAGAGAAAAGAAAAATCGCGTATTGTTCACACCCCGTTTGTTGGTATACTACTCCTGCATTAGATAAGTATACTACTCCAGTTAGAATACTACTCCATAAGTGAGACGACGGATCAGAGTAGCCGGCCGCTTTTCACCATCATACTCGGCTGCATTTTACTTACCTAAATAGTTAGTGTCGAAAATTATCCACCATCGGGACTTTAATCCTAGGATATAGGTTGTTGATACAGCGCTTGCCACATTTTTGTTTCCTTGTAAGTAATGAATAATTCTAAGTCCCGCGTTTGCTCGTGGCTAACTTGTTCGTTTTCAACGAGAGAGGCAAGAGAAGGTTGACGCTTCTGCAGAAATGTCACAGCCTCTGTGGCTTTGCAAATGGGAAAGCTGCAGTAGATATGGGCATTGCTGAAGTAATGGTTGGAATATAGGGAATGGAAATTTGCGTTGTGGAATGTATTAGCCAAGCAGCAACATATCCAACCAGCACCATCCTGGTTGGTAGCTTAGTGAGGTGAATGCATAGTGAATAATTGAAGGGATGTAGCACATAACTGTAAAAATTGTAGTTTTTATATAATATTTTTTTTATTTTTTCTGTTATCCGTGAAATGTGTAATGCTTAAATAGTTAAATTTGCGGAACATAGGTCGCTTATGTTTTTTTGAAATTTTTATGTAAAGCATTTATTCCCATTAAAAACCAAAAATGTTCAATTGCTTATAATCCAGGCGTTACCTTCGGGTAAACCTTGTTTTACATTTAAACATTTTCATTAGCCCTTTACTGTAGGCCCAAATTATGCAATTCGCTTGGAGATGAAAGAACAATAGTTTTTTGAAAGAAAATTGACGTTTGTTCACATGGCAATGCGGATGACGGGAAAAGAAAGTGGCAACTTCACAAAGGTTCTTTGCTGGTGGCTTCTCCTGGATAGCCAAGAATTTATGGAATCGAGCTCCGGAAGTTTACGTGTGCAATTTCACAAGGTTCATTTGGTGTTTACGTTGTCGGCAGCCATTTCGCGTCATGCGAGCGCCATCTTGTCGTTGGTCTGGGGATAGTATTACGTGGGGACTTGTATCGACCAATGAAATTCGCAGTCGCCCCACATCTTCCAACGAGGAAGAGAATACCTCGAAGACACGGGCATTCGTGTTCGTCAGTTCGCGCGAGTTAAACGTAATATTTTTCGGCGATAAGTTATTAAATAGTTTTGATTTTATTGGTGATCAGTGTTAGAATACTATTGTCAATTCAAAATTTTAAATGATTCATTGTATCTAACGACAGGGAATACATTCATTGTATCAGGGAATATATAGCGGTTTACAAGTTCGAATGTGTTGGAATATAATAGCGAGAGTAATTTATTATATATAACATTAAGTGTAGAATACTGTGACTCGTTGGTGCATAGTTAAGAGACAATGATTAAAATACTATACGGATATTGATGAAGTTTTCTGATATTTCTGTTTTCTAAACGAAAGAATTGCAATGTCAAATTACTGCGTATGAGTGCTTTGGGTATGAAGATCTACAGAAAAATTGGAGGAAAACGCAATGAAGTACATGACACTAGTAAGTTTGCCACCGAACTGCGACTTAGTGAAGTGCTTTTTTTTTACATATTGTTTATTAGCAAAGTTACTGGGGAATTGATTCTGAAGATAAAATTAATCAGTGTAGTTCTATTAAACGTTTGCAAATGAATAATTTGTCTTTCATTGGTTTGTAAAATGTTTAAAATAGAAGAGAAATCGAAAGAAAAATATAATAATAATCGTATCCTCGTGTACGCGCCATATTGTCGTATATCGAGTAGCTTTAATGACTAATAATGAATGCCGTAGGCTGCGCCAACGTTCTCAAATACATGTTGAAAATGTGTAGTGAGAATTTGTTTTACAGTGGTTGTTGAAATTAAACGTCATATTAGGCCGTCGATCGTTTCATTAAATTTGTCACTTTGCTTGTCAATTTATTTACTTGTGATCCAGTTTGAAAATTATATCAAGCCACTTCATTGATTGCCTTCAGACAGGGATGAGTAAAATGTGTCCCAAGCGAAACGGTTGTCACTTATTAAACCAACGTTCTTTCGAAACATCTCATGTTAGCAAACCTTATATACTCAGCCAGTGTAATTTTTAAAATGGGAATGAATAAGAGCGTGACACGAAAATAGGAGGATTTTCGACATAATCTATATCGCTAGATCGAATTCTACCGCTCTCTGAAGGAAAATCCTAGCAGCTCAAATGCATACTTTTCCTTGGTTCTTGATAAACACTAGGTGAATGACGGAGCAGTAGTCTGAGAAACGGGCCACGGACCGCTCGCGATCATTCCTTCCTTGTCCTCTCCTCAGCCCTTACACACACGCATACACTTACGTGCGCTTCACTAACATTCATTCAGAGAGACCAGTCGGAAGCTTAGTAATTGTCCTGGAAGGGGTTGCGCCCTGCTGATGGGCGATACGTGGTTGTGGAAAACCCAACAAACCGACCTATATATGGGGCAACAAGCCGACCCCAGAATATATCAAATGCATGTACGGTACGACCACCATCAAAATGCGATAAGCGATTATTGCAATCAATGATGTCAAAACTTCCCAATTATTTGTGATATTCCACAGTGATCAGAGAAGAAAGAAATATTATTTTTATAAATATGTAAGTACGGTTTCTAAAAGGCGAAAACTTCTATTCCACTTTCCTTTCGCTTTCGTCCAGTCCAACGCATCAGTCTCCTTCATTCATCAACAAAGCAATTGCCGTCTTGATAGCACCATTACGTCACACTCGCCTACGTACTTCACCAGCGTTCACATCCGCGTTGCCTCGCACAGGCTTTGGCACTTGTATTTGGCATTCGTTATCGACCGCGGCCTCTCCGACAATCGGACACATCCTCCCAATGCCCATTGCGTTCTCCAGTCGTGGAACACGTCGTCGCCCACAGCAATGCTGGTGCCCTTGCCCTTCTCCCACGCCATCGCAACCTTGTCGTTATCGTCCCTGTTGACCACACCATCGCCCTCGCAGTGTCCCTCGCAGTGTCCCTCGCAGTGTCCCTCGCAGTGTCCCTCGCAGTCGCCCTCGCAGTGTCCCTCGCGTGTCCTCGCAGTGTTCGCAGTGCCTGCAGTGTCCCTCGCGTGTCCCTCGCAGTCGCCTCGCGTGTCCCTCGCAAGTGCCCTCGCAGCCCGCCGCCGCTGCAGTGGTCCTCGCAGTGTCCCTCGCCAGTGTCCCTCGCAGTCGCCCTTCGCAGTGTCCCTCGCAGTGTCCGCTGCGCAGTGTCCCTCGCGCGCCAGGTCCCTCGCAGTTGGTCCCTCCCAGGTCCCCTCTGCAGTCGTCCCTCGCAGTGTCCCTCTTCGCCTCCAGTGTCCCTCGCAGTGTCGCCTCGAGCCGCCTCGCAGTGTCCTCGCAGTGTCCCTCGCAGTGTCCCCTCGCAAGCGCCCCAGCAGTGTCCCTCGCAGTGTCCCTCGCAGTCGCCTCGCAGCGCCTCTCGTCCCTAGTGTCCTCGCTCGCCCACGGCAGTGTCCCTCGCAGTGTCCCTCGCAGTCGCCCTCGCAGCGTCTTCGCAGTGTCCCTCGCAGTGTCCCTCGCAAGCGTCCTCGCAGTTCGCCTCGCAGTGTCCCCTCGCAGTGTCCTCGCAGTCCGCCCTCGTCAGTGTCCCTCGCAGTTGTCCCTCGCAGTGCTCGCAGCGTCCTCGCAGTGTCCCTCGCAGTCCGCCCTGCGTCGGCAGTGTCCCTCGCAGTGCCTCGCCATCTGCAGTGTCCCTCGCAGTCGCCCTCGCAGTGTCCTCGCAGTGTCCCTCGCAGTGTCCCTCGCAGTGCCGCCGAAGGTCTGGTCCCTCGCAGGGCCCTCGCAGTGTCCCTCGCGTGCCAAGTCTCGCAGTGTCCCTTTCGGCAGTCGCCCTCGCAGTGTCCCTCGCAAGTGTCTGCCCCTGTCCTCGCAGTCCGCCCTCGCAGGTGTCCCTCGCCAGATCCCGCGTGTCCCGCTCCTCGCAGTGTCCCCTCGCACCGCCTCTCCTCGCAGTCGCATCCATCTCGCAGGTGTCCCTCGCAGTGTCCCTCGACCGCAGCCGCCCTGCGCCAGTGTCCCTCGCAGGTCCGCAGTGTCCCTCGCAGCGTCCCTCGCAGTGTCCCTCGCAGTGTCCCTCGCAGTGTCCCTCTAGCCGCAGTTCCCTGACGCTTCTCGCAGCCCTGAGTCACTCGCAGTGTCCCTCGCAGCCGCCCTCGCAGTGTCCCTCGCAGTGTCCCGTCGCAGCGCCCTGCAGGTCCTCGCAGTTCAGTGCCTCGCAGTGATCCCTCGCAGTGCCTCGGTCGCCCTCGCTTCTCGCATTGTCCGTATAGTGCCCCTCGCACGCTCGCAGGCCTTTCGAGTGTCCCTCGCAGTCGCCCTCGCAGTGTCCTCGCAGCCGCCCTCGCAGTGTTCCCTCGCGTGTCCTCGCAGTCGCCCTCGCAGTGTCCCTCGCAGTGTCCCTCGCAGTCTCCCCCACAGTCACCCCCGCAGTAGCCCTCGCAAGCGCTCTCGCAGTTGTCTTCGCATACGCCTTCCCCGTCTGCCTCACCGTTGCCCTCTCTCCACACCATCTCAGTCCCTGTCACCATTGCATCGATGCCATCCTCCCCTTAACAGTTGCCGTCGAATGCCCTCACCCTTGCCTTAGGAGTCTCCCTCATTTGCGCAAAAGTTCCTGCCGTCGCCATATATCTCTCTTTCGCCATCTAACGGCATCGCTTCCACTGTCGCCCTTACCCCCGACGATAACCTCTCTGTCCCCTGTTGCCGACCCCCTGTTATCACCCTCACTAACCGTTTCCTTGGGGTGTTAGAATGTTACATATGTACATCTTCAATACCCCATAAATGTACGCCCTGATTACGCAATCACGTTGAAAAAGGAAAGAACAATCAAGGGATTTTTAGACACATCGTTTATTTGCCTGGTAATGCGGTGACAGGAAGAAGACGGGCAACGTCTAGAAACGCTCATTTTGTGTATACGTCATCAGCAGCCATTCCGCGTCATCCAAGCGCCATGTTGTCGTGGTTGTGATGCGGAGGGGCGGTGAGGAGTAGGGGCTTGCATCGACCAATGAAATCCACTTTCGTCCCCACCTCTTCCAACGAGGAAGAGAAGGCCTCAGAGCGACGGTCATTCGCATTCATCTGTTCGCTCGAGTTAGTCGTAAAATTTTTCGGCGAGACATTTTTTAATCATTTTGATTTTATTGGTGATCAGCGCTAGAATAAACTTGTTAATACTACATTTAAAATGGTTCAGCGTATTTAATTGAGAGGCAGTGTTTATTTCGTGATCATATTGTTATATACAAGTGTTTGAATACAATAGGAAGATGGATTTATCATTCATGAAATGAAGTGTGGAAGACTGTGATTCGTTGCTGCGTAGCCATATTAACCATATGCCATTTTAATTCATTGATAGAGAATGTCATAATCATTTGAAAAACATTTAGTTTTCGTATATTATTTATACAAGTGTTGCAATATTAAGTTACGGCTTATTAATGCTTTGAATGTGAAGATCTGCACAAATATATGGAGTCCCTTCAACAAACTACAGAGCCACTAGTAAGTTTGCCAGCGGACTGCGATCTTGTGATGTGATTACTATATACGTGGGTATTTGCAAAATTGATTCTGTTGATACAATTCGTCGATCTTCTCGTCAGTGTAGTTCCGTTTAATTTTTTAAATGAATAACTCGGCTTTCACTGTATTCGTAATAATTTGAAAACCTTGATAGAAAACTATCGGTATTGCTTTAAAACATTTACGATTTAATTATTGCAGAGTAAGTTGGCAGGAAAAGTAAAATACGAGGATAATGTCGTTCGATACTAGGTCAATACGTCATTAAACGCCACTTCGCGTCGTGTGGGCGCCATCTTGTCGTGAAGCGTGTCACCAGATGTGTCGACCAATGACAGCACTCGACACTTTCCAAGAAGGAAGTGAAGAGCAGGGAACTTGGTGCGCATTCGTGCGTGACTGATCGTCCGAAGACGTTAAGCATTATGCGAGTGTTAAAACGGTTTTTTGATATTAAATATATGGCAAGAATGTTTAGTTTTATTGTTGTCCGAAATTTTCATTTTGGAAGGGAATTTTCCGTTATCTTTGTGGATTTTCTTTGCAAGAGACTAATAAATAATAATGTAACTGTCTTAATGTGTTGATTACGAAAATTACACGATTCAGTGATCTCAGTCAACTGGAGTCTACACGTAAGTCCAACGTATGACTAAATTAAAATGGCTCCCGTCGGTTTTAGCGTAGCTCTCAGCAAATGATTCGCCCGTTGAATAGTTGCATGTTATCGCAGCACCAGTCACCTGTTCCTCGACGTCACCCTCGATGTCGCCTCCGGCGTCGCCCTCGCCGCCACCCTCGCCGTCGCCCTCGCCGCCACCCTCGCCGTCGCCCTCGCCGTCGCCCTCGCCGTCGCCCTCGCCGTCGCCCTCGCCATCGCCCTCACCGTCACCCAGGTCGTATTCTTGCGTCTATGCCAAAGGTCGAGTGAGGATCACTACATCATTACTAGTACCCGTAGAAAAAATTACATACCTCATCTCTAAAAAAACGAAATAGTGAAATTGCAAAGCTCTGACATTTTTCGTAAATATGTCACGCCTAAATTATATCACAATTTACCTCGAATACACAATGTTTGAATCTATCGAGATACTAAAAGCGAAAATAAGAATATACTATAACTATTCGGTAGATATTTATGCAGATAAAAAACTCAGTATATATGGCTTCTTAATACTATATAAAGTTAACAAAATACAGATAGACAAGCAAGAGTGTCTATCTCTCACGTATTACTTTAGTGTATAAGAAAAAATCGATATGCTATAATATATCAAGACAATAACATCAAGGAAATTCCATGAATTTACGCCCTTCCAACGGTGATGCCAGCATAAGATAGATTCAAAGACTGTCGCCATTGAGTCTATTCCCTTTGACCTCAAGTGTCTATTCAATTTTCTAGATATTCTCCCAGCCTCAACCCAGTCCCAACGCTCTATGAGGTACACACAAATTTCCTAAGCACATGTTATGCCTCCAATCTGGCGATACAACCCAAAAGACTAATCACGATATAGTAAGGTAAGAGTTACCACATAGGCACTCGTGTAGTTGATATCAAGCAAAAATCCCGAACGTCACAACAGCGCTCCAACAAAATTACTAACCGTCACTCAAGAACGATCGAACTAACAGTATGCAATCCCTTCACATAACATGTGAGTTCGACCCTCGAGCACGTGCGCCTTCTTACCCGTGATAGCTCGTTACTGTCTCTCTCAGACGATTCCAGTTTCCATATACACTACATCTCGTCCATTCACACCCATGTGATACTTCTAACCTTCCCGAGCTCTAACCTATGGTCGTCTACTACCTGTAACATAACCACTCTTTCAGACCAGAATCCCATCTCAACTTCGTAGCGCGTACAAACTGACGGGACTACAGTGTGTTAGACCACTTCTGTAACAACGATTATAGGAAAGCATTTTAACTTCCCATCGCAAAAAATCGACAAGCTATCACATTCGTCTTGAAGAGATGTTCTATTCTTCTATTAATCCCATTTGAACAATTTGATTTCAGATCTAATTGAAAAATCTGTCAGAGGACCTCATTATATGTTAGTGCACTATTTGCTCTTACTGCACCATTAGCCCTTAGCCAGATATAACAGACTCAAATACTCTGAAAATAAAACAGTACACATTTAACTGTAACTTGTAAACACTTCTCCTACTGCAGCTCGGTATAGCACCTCGTGTGCGACCTCTATTTAGCTTCCATGCACGACCTTTCCACCCTGACTCTAGACCGACACACCAACATGCCCCCTATATAGATCTCTGAACAGAACACATCTTCTCGCGCAACGTTACGCATGCACTCGCGGACAGTCCAGTCACCTTCTCTCAGCGCGTCCGCGGACCAGTAAAAGCTGCAAACACGCTTTCCGTTATCTGCGGACAAAGCTCTCGAGTATCCCCTATACACTTCTCTACACAAAATCTCCTTCAATCGCGAACACACATCGCGAACCTACGTCCATATGACCCTTATCTCTTCTCCAATCAACCACAGTAAGCACTAAAGTTGAGAAAAACCGATCACAATGTGTACTCAGCCTAATATCTTTTCACAAAATGCGTCGAGCACTACACAAGCATATTTATCAAAAATCACTCGTACACCCATTTGTATACTGTGAAATACACTTCACATAAAACAATGGATATCAACTTAATAACACCCACCAGTTAATGCAGTCTGCTGCGTCTCGCACGAACGCCACAAATGCGCCTATGACAAGATTATCTATCTCAACATGAATGAATAATCGTGTTGATATAACGAGAGAACAGCGAATTGGATGCGCCTTCGGGATTCACTTCTCAGTACGTTGAATTTCAACCACACTGCGATTCTCACTCGAAGCTTTCTAAGACAGATACTCTTTCAGTACCATATGACGAGAGAGTACAGTGTACAAGAGACCCTATGTAGTGAGATACGGGACGTAGGGAGAGTGAGAACGCAGCCCACCATTGATCGCCGAATCAAGCCGATGTCGCCACAAGAAACGTACCTGTCTATATATCTGAACTCGAGATGATCGTTCTACAATTACACACACATCCCTCCTAAATTTACCTTCCCAGGTGAGCAAAGAGCAGTATCTTACTTACGTAGCTGATTAACACTCGAAGCACACCACAAAACAATCATCACTTCTCAGTACCAAAAAGGAGATCACAACATAAACTCAGTTTCGACACCCCGCATAACGTCGACCCCATTGGTAGCACTCACAACCCCCCCGACAGAAATATTCATTTATTCACAATCATCTCCTCGCAAAATTATTCCAGAACCACATACAGCGTACACGCTCAACCTTGCTCATCTCGACTCTAGTCGTCAAAACTATCACACTGCCCCTGCATTCACATTTCTCACCCTGCCCTCGCCGCCACCTAGCTCACGA